GCTGGATCAAAGAGTAACGGGCAAATGGATCATATTATGGAAGCAGAGAATAACAGATTAGTTGATAATTTATCCAACAAGATATCAATGCTGAAAGGGGTAGGTGAAAGTCTGGCATCATTATATTAGACTCATATCTATGTGTACATTTATTGGCAATTCCCAATGTCATCTATCCTAAGAACAAGGCTATCAATTGTGCTTGTACAGAAATGATTAAGAATAGTCATTTCTGATTGCCCTAGTTTGTAGGGTTACTTTGTTATCCTTTGGCTAGTTTAGGTGTATAGAAAAATATGAATGAAAATGCCTGTTATGAATGCAACATGGAAGGAACATGGGCAAACAAACAACCAAAAGAAACAAAACAAAACCTTTTGTTGCTAGTGCTCAGATAAGGTGAAAAATGAGAAACATTGATTCCAACTTGAGCAGCAAAAATGTTGTGTGTCAAGTGGAGTGTTTTTGTATCATATTCTTGGGATTCTTGGGCTTTATTTTGTTGTGGGGTGCCTGTAGTATAGAGATSGACAGGGAWCCCAGAACAATGTAATCCATGTTGATTGGCATTTCTATTATTTGTAGATAGCAATCGATATTGACAAAGAATCAAAACATCAAAACAGATATATTGATGGAATGGTATGTAAAACCTTTAGTTATAATAAATATAACTTAAACCAGGGGAGACTCCCTAATATCAAAGTGTGGGGTCCTCGTCAGAAATTCTGAAAATGACGCCTAAAAGGGACCTCTATTTTGAGATGATGGGCGTGGCAGTGCTGAAATTTCACTGCTAAGAGGTACCAATCAATAACAGATCATTTTGTTTTGGTTTCCCGATTTTATTTGCRTTTGTGCACAATCATCAATTATCGTCGGCTCGTAYTGAGTTTATGACGACGTTGCCATTTTATGACTGCTTAGGGTTGTCATTATTTAAAAATGCAGTCTTTCGGCACTATGAAATCACTGCTCCATTTTTTCTGGAACAAATTTTGACCTTCAGTTTAGATTTAAARGAAWAGGAAAAAAAGAGAAAATAATGATATAAAACTTAACTTCAGAAGTAAAAATGTATCTATAGCTAAATCTTTTTGTGTAAATACTTGCTGTAGTATGGGAACTATAGTAAATCTGCTTGATAGGGTTTCAATTGTTACAGAGTGTACTAAAAAGGTATGGGGAAAGCTGAATGTCTGAATATTTGACAAAAGAGACCACTAATTTCCAGTTCCTCTGGTACTTGCAAGAACAGGAATCTCAGTCAAAATAACTTTTTCTTGCAAACGCTAAATATTTTATAATTATTGCGAATTTCAGAGCGATGACTTTGGAAGCACGTCAGGTCTGTTAAGTGGCAGTGCACAACGGCTTGCGCACATGATAGGCTCAGGGAAATCAAACAGGACTTTAATGTGCTATATTATTACTGGACTGGTTGTTCTGTTCCTTATACTCTATTATGGCCTGGGTAGAATAGTTAGATAAACNTGGCATTTTTAGACGTGAGCTTTTATGCGTGAATGGTATAGAGGATGTCGTTTGATCAAAGTTTGCCTCTTTTTCTCTTTGCCCTCTGGAAGACCGAGTCGTGGGTAATTGACATAATAATATGAGAACTCTGTTGTTGTGACTAGTTATCCAAACGTTTGTGTCCAGGACAGCTGCAAGTCACTCACGTATAAATTTGAAGAAGGTACAAACTGCGCCAACAGCTTTACCGTTGGAAACCGCTCAGATATAACCCAACTTCTTCCAAAAAGTAGAAAGAACGAAGTAACAAATTCTTATGGCTACTTCTTCATCAATGCTGGTTTTGTTTTCTTTTTTCCACTACTGTCATCATTTATACTTTGTGCAATCCCAGCCATTTTCGCTTCTCGCTTCAACTGAAAGTGGTATCGAACTCCAAGGCTTTCATTACAAATCGTTTTCGGACTCAAAACTAAGTAGCTGCGTTTTCGCCTGCATGGAAGACGATGTTTGCCAGTCAATCAACTTCGATACTCAATATTTCCACTGCGTGCTAAACAACGACACTAAAAGACATAGACCTAAGAAAGTCCGACCAAAGAGGCACGGTGTTTACATGGAAAATCCCCAAAGAGGTACGTCGAATTTTATTCGATATTTTAAATAAAATGAAACACTTAAAGACTATCTTCTCTTTCGTAAAAGAGATAACAAATTTTTTATACAGTATAGCTTAATTTTAGTTTCATTGCTTTTATAAATAATTAGCGATACTACAAAGCCAAAAGCCAACTTAGATTAAATCATTTGCCGTGATATAATATATCAGAGGGATTTGAATAAAGAGATAGAACTCAGTCACGGCTACTACGTAAACTGAAAAAAGAAAGAATACTTATTTATTTTCCAAGAAATAATCGCAATTCGTCAATCCATATATTTACTGCAAGTACACAAACTTTGCACTTACCAAAGATCACCTGCCATTGCTTCGACGTCGAAGCGGTCTCTTTGGACTCACAAACAAGAGAAAGAACTAGAATGAGTCTAATATTAACATAAAATATCGACATAATCTGGGTCCSTATGGTGTCCAAGAAATCTGTTTGAGATTAATATTTTTTGATCAGTTCCTCCCGGTCTTGAGCTTTCTTTTTTACTGTGCGACGCGCGGTACCGTGGCCACCCAAAAACTTTTAGAGAAAGTTAGCCAATCAGTGTGCGAGAATACGATTTTTGATTGACAGGATCGTCTATCATAAACACATGTACAACATACCGACCGGGAAACACTTCATACGTGCTACCGAGGAGTAAGTATATCTAATATGAGTGAAGTGTATTTCTGGTTGAAAAATCTCCCTGGCCGATTGAATCTTGAAAGATTAAGTCCTCAATTTGAAGACAGGGGATTCTCTACGGTTGAATCTCTACGATACGTGACATCTGA